ACGTAAATCTTTTTTTTTTAATGTCCTGCCCCAGCCAGGCTGTGATTGGTTGGTTGGTTCAGGAAAAGTGAAACTGGAGGTTAAAAAAGTCGAGCATGTTTCAAGGCACCCAATAAAGCTAAATGGCCAGCCAACCCCAACCGTGCTTATTTTAACCCTATTGTCTTCTGTCTTACCCCTTCAGCTACAAAACCTTGACTTACTGTTGAACTGGTATCGAGGACCTTGAGAAGGAGGGTGTGGGCTGGTGCATAATCACAGTGGGCCGATAACTCAGCTCTCTTGCTCTTGTTTTCTATAATGGACTGCTCAGGAGCGGCTGGCTCACCAGGATTTCTCCAGGTGTTCCAGTCCGGCTTTGTTCTGAGCGATAAGCAGCGGGGGTGGTGGTGGGGGAGATTATGGTAGGTTGTAGTCTTTGCTTGCACAATGTGACCATAAATCATTTTTCTATTTTTAGGGACAAATGCCAGTGAAATACTTGACTACAGAGACCTGATGAATATAGCCCATTCATATCAACAATAAAAATCAGATCTAAATATTTAATCATATATTTTCTTCAATGCATAAAACTAGAAATAATTGTAAATGAATTTAAAATCTGCCTATGTTAACTGTGACAGCAGGATCAACTGATGTGTTCCTATTGATCAGAGTTAATGAATAGTGCCTGTGGATTCAACGGGAACAAGCAACAGTCAAATCAAGGGTGATCATCAATGACTCAATAATGTAACCTCCATCGTGGTTCAAATGGAAGCAAAAAGGCATGCATAAACATGTGTGCACCCACACACAAAGTGACGACCTGATGGATACTTCACAGGGCAATTCTCTAAGAGTAAAACAAGAGCAATTATTGAACTACTCTCTTAAGGACAAGGACATCACCATCTAACGGAGCATTTTGTCCCCAGGAAAGGAAAGCAATCAGTGCTACCACGAAACACAGAGCTCAGTTTTCCACCAACGAGAAAGTGTATCATCACAGTTAAAAGGTACAAGATAGGGATCAAGTAAATATAAACATACTGTAGGTATTCTTACAGAAGCCAAACTGTGCAGCTAGGCTGTAGAAGAGAACAGATTGGGGGGAGGGGGGAACAGTGCACAACTTTTGTGAGGGGGGCATTCAACTATTTTTAATTTCTGAGGTTGAACATTTTATTGATCTATTGGAATTTGTGCAGACACAAGTAGATTAGTCAATTTAAGTGATGACAATTTAATCAATTACCCAATAAAAAGGGGACTTGCTGGTTTAAGTATCTTAAACATCAGGATTACAGTAGGTTTAATATATTTGGGATTTCTGACTGCTGGTGAGACACGATGTACAAATGACAGACATGAATTTGGCTACATGAAAAGTTATACAGTATATAAACAAGCTTGTATATAAACAAGCTTATCTGATAACTAAACATGTAAATAAACAAATGCTGCAGTCATATTGGACAGCTTTACACTGTAAGGGCTTCCTAAAACTCCTTCCTGCTTATGCGTTTGGAAGGGACAGACAGGTGGGAACTAGAAATTGTATGTTTATGTCTGGGATACATATGGGAAGCCTTGACAACATCCCCTTGTGTTGGCATGCACTGGACCGCAGAGGTCAGAGAAGGTTACACAGCAGGTGTTCAGGCTTCTGGCATACCACTCGGACTCCCACACAGTACACAAGCACTAGACTTTCCCTTTTCCTTAACTATCAGCAGGAAGAGGCACCACAGAAGGAAGAAAGGAAAGGAGAAGGGAAACTTTGGTACTAATACAAGCAAACCCATTTCTGTTTGTTTGGTTTTTTTTTGCAATTTATTTGCAATATTTAGACAACCTACATAATTTACAGATACAGGAGTATTTAGTTTAAGAAACGGTAGATCAATTTGCAAAAAAATGCATAATTGTAAAGTTTGATGCAAAAATCCACGAGATACTCAGCTTGTTTGTCAATTTATATGTGCACTCGCAAAATGATTGTGATGATTGCTTCCCGCTAAATAATATGAATGTCAGATGAAACAGACTGCGTTAGATTAGTCACTAAAAAGCAAACTTTACTATTTTTTTAAGCAGTAAAATAAATATTGCAGGCCCAATTTGCTTTATTAAACTGCATCCTTTGTGAGATAATTAGTCCATATGCACTGCATATATCAAGGTTGAAACAATATATTCTTCAGCCCCACTGTCTCTACCTTCAACAAGCAAGTCATCCTTCCCGCTTTCATCGCAACATCACTGGGCTTGTCTGAGGCACAAAGAGAAAGCCTGCTCCACATTACATGCTTGTAAATGATGAAAAGCTACAGCTATGACATTGTGGCCTGTTGATCTGCTCCACTGCAACAACCCCATCACAATCTGTGATAAGACACACTTCACTGCATGCATTGTCAAATCGTACACTTTCTCCCTCATGCTAAAATACCCTTGCTTGTCTCACCCTTTGAATCTCCTTACCAGTGCTCCTTGACTTGCCAGAGTAATGCTGATGGGGTTGCCTAGCAACTGCCAATGGACCAATTGCTTCTTCATTATTGAGAACACCTTCCATGATTGAAACCCCCCTTTGATGATGGACTCTCTGCTGAGAGCCAACGGTGACTCCACTATCGTTCTGACATTTAAGGATAAATTAGACACTTTGATCTGTATTCAGTCAACTGGAGTGAAGACATGCTTTCCTAATGAGTGGCTTCTTGTCGGCATAAAATACTTAAATGAAACAACAGAGACAAACTTTGTCTTTAAAGCTCAAAAGTAGCTACGTGGTTGGTAAATTGACTTCTTAGTAACCTTCAGAATGGCCACGTACATACTTACTTGAGTTGTGAAACCACATTTCACCTGGATCATGAAATAGGAGTCAAACGTGGTGATTAGAACAAGGTATGAGTTGTATAAAACAATGAATTATAGAGTAAGCTAGACAGGATGAATTAAAGAGAAGCTGAATTTAAAAGCAGTGGCCCATTACCTTGGGAGTATAAAATGTGTTTAATGTGGGTGTGTCCCTTTTTATACAAAATCTAAAAACATTTCAAATAAAGATGCGTTAGTGTTCCAATGCTGGGGATAGTAGTACTAATTTTATAGTTTTGCCTCTATTGAAGCAATCAACTAACAGTGTGGAGTGTAAAACAAACATTATCATTACTGATGAGAACAGAGGAATGGCAATGGTGAAATAAATATCAGAAAGACACATTTCCTAGAGTAATAGTTTGATGAGGATATGCTATTTCTATTTGGAAAATCCTATTTCCCATTTTAAACAAATATTAGCAGAAAGAATTTAAAGATATGCTAAATTAAAAACACCTTGACTAAAATAGAGCACACCCACTCAACAGATTTCAGCAATGTGAAGGTGGTTAATGTTTTGCTTTAGAAACAATTAACAACCTCGATTCCATGTTAAAAAATAGTGAAAAAAGAAGGTATATCCGCAAATTCCTCAAAAGCAGTGCATGTGTTGTCATGCATAAAAAAGCTTTGAGGAAAAGGTTAGAGGCAGGTTTATCAGTGACGTCTACTAGAACACCTGCTATTGATGCATGGCATCTGAAGAAATAGGGTGTCTTTCACTTTCTGTGATTGAGCATGCCTTTATAGAATATGAATGCATTTACCTCCCTGCGGGATAAACAAACACTGTGAGTCTTATCACTGAAGAACACATAAATGAATCAATGTGTGTGGGCAAGAGGCCAGGTAATCCCACCTAGAGTGAAGAATGAACCAAGTTAGTTTAGTACCAGCAATAATATCAGAAACAACTACTCTCTGTGTTCCTTTGCCGGGGCTTTGTGACAGAACATGTGCTGTGGAAATGAAAAGCTGCTAAACATAGGAGGAAGATATTGTGGTAAAAGTGTGAACCCCCTGAGAGATCTCTGGTTAGCGACTAGAAAGACATTCAGTAAAAAATTATTGTATCATATGAACAAAGCAGTGTGTGGGTGTGGAGGAGCAACTGTGAACAAATGTGTTACTCAAAATAAGAAAGCAGACTCTACAGCCTGTTCATTGACTCCTCCATAAATTCCATAAATAACATGAGACACAGTTGCCCAATAGCCTCTAAATCCCCTCACCACGTTTGGAATATCTAGCACCACAATATAGTGCCAAGAATAGATAATGCATGAAACAGCGCATCTACTTAACAGACTCTAGAAACAAGTGCAATCAGTTCATCCTCAATGAAGTGTCTGTCTCTTGCGCTCACTTACTTACCTCTCACGGTTCTTGTTAATGATATGTATTCTCATTGCCCTGGGGTTAACTGGAGCTTCTGCAGAGCATAACTTTAAGATAAGGAGAGGAAGACCCAATCTCCATTGATCTGAATGGAATAAGATAAAGCATCCTGAGTCTTATTGGATTCCAGATGCCCTAACGATGTTCGTGTTGTCTTACTGCTTTAACAGGCTAAGCCACCCCCTCTGCTGCTGAGGTCGGAGCTATAAACCAGGATTGGAATCTAGAGAAGTGGAAATACTTTTTAGCTGCGTGCGGTCGGCTGGTGTGTCGGTCTGTCGACCACTCAAAGGAAGACTGAAATATCCTGGAAACTACTGAATGAATTGCCATGAAATTTTCTACAGACATGTATGGTCCCCTGCGATGGACTGGTGACCTGTCCAGGGTGTACCCTGCCTTTCGCCCAATGTCAGCTGGGATAGACTCCAGCCCCCCCGCGACCCTTTACGCAGGATAAGCGGTTGACGATGCATGGATGGATGGATGGATGTATGGTCCCCGTAGGACAGAGGTCACAAATAGGCGCACCACAGTCCGGATCCGGACCCAACCGGCCGAACTTCAATCACTAAAAGCTACAGTTTTAATTTTTTCTGAAATTGAGTAACAAATAATAAATTTATTTTAAGATGCACATTTACAAAAACGTTTTTTTAAATGCAGCCTTTAGATTACTTAAATTTAGAATTTATTATTAGAGTAGTTGTTATTAATTATCCCTTCAGTTTTATGTGAAATATATTGTTGAAACTGTATCTGATTTGACAGTAAGTTGTTGACTAAAAACATATGATACAACTAGACTATAAGTTATGGTAGGCTACTGAATGAGAACGCAAGTTGATGTTCCGGACCTTTGCTTTGTGAAATTTTCTCTAACTGGACCTCTTTAAATTTTAATTGAAGACCCCTGCCGTAGGATGAAGCACACCAACTTCATCCTCTGATTTTTTCGTCTAGCACCAATATGAGGTTGAAATATTTGGTTTTAAGTGAAATTTCTCAACAACTATTGAATGCCATTAAATATAGTACAGATATCCATAGTGACCAAAGGATGAATCCCACTGACTTTTCCTTTAGCACCACCAGCAGGTCAAATTCTTCACTTATCAAACAAAATATCTCTGCATCTACAAGAGGGATTGGCACAGACATACATGGTTCTGATTGTTCCTTTTGTTGGTAGGGAAAATAGCTGGGAAATTATTCTGATGACAATTTGTGTAACCAGATCAATGGATTGTGTGTAACCACACACAATCACTGTGGAAGTCGGAGGCACGAGTTTTCCGTGACGCAGGCCAACATGACTGTCTAGTGCCCCAGGGCAAGTACAGCTGAGTAACAGTAGGACTCCAAGTCTTGCGAGTGCTCAGCATTTCCACACAAACCTCAGATACCTACTCAACTTTAATAATAATAATACTACATTTAATTTGTAATGCACTTTATACAGTATTTAAGCAAACCCCAAAGTGCTACATAATAAAACAAGTAAGTGCTAAAAAATAAAATACATAGAGAGTATGACAAATAAAAACAGAAACAATAAGGCAAAGGAAAATGGCAAGAGTTCAATCAAAAGCTCTCCTAAATAGGTGGGTTTTAAGGCCATGTTTAAAAGCATCCACAGCCAGGGAGAGCATTCCACAGACTGGGAGCAGCTGAGCAGAAAGCCCGATCTCCCATTGTACGGAGCTTGGTTCTAGGAGGTTTCAGGAGATACGCTGAGGCAGATCAGAGGTCACGTGTTGAGGTCTGTGGTATGAGGAGTTCCTTGAGGTAGGAGGGGGCTTCACCATGGATGCACTGGTGGGTAAGGAGGGAGACCTTGTACTCAATCCTGAGTGAGACAGGAAGCCAGTGTAGTGATTTGAGGATGGGGGTGATGTGGTCGTGTTTGCGCACCTTCAGCAGGATCCTAGCAGCGCTGTTCTGGATGTACTGCAGCTTCTGAAGGCTTTTTTCAGGGATCCCGGTGAGGAGCGCATTGCAGTAGTCCAGCCTGGAGGAGACAAAAGCGTGGACAAGCTTTTCTGCATCTGCAGGAGTGAGTGTGGGACGGAGTTTGGCAATGTTCCTGAGGTAGAAGAAGGTCTTGCAGAGATGTTTGATGTGAGCCTCAAAGGTCAGATGAGAGTCCATTTTAACACCCAGGTTGGTGGCTGATGTTGAAAGTGGAATGTTTTGGCCAGAGAAGGTGATGCTGATAATGTCAGATGACCAAACACGGTGTGGAGTGCCGACTAAGATGGCTTCAGTCTTGGAGCTGTTTAGCTGCAGAAAGTTTTGCTTCATCCACGCCCTTATCTCCTCCAGGCAGGTGGAGTGGATGATGGCAGAGGGGGTTGTCATCATCAGCATAGCAGTGGAATGAAATTCCATGCCGGCTAATGACGTGGCCAAGGGGGAGCAGTAGAGGATAAACAGGATGGGGCCGAGTACTGAGCCTTGAGGGACACCACAGGTGATGTGTGTCAGGGATTTAGCCTCTCCCAAGGAAACATGCTCAGTTCTCCCGGTGAGGTAGGATGAGAACCACTCATAGACAGAGTCAGAAAGACCGATAGTGGAACGTAGATGGTGAAAGAGGATGGTCCAGTGTCGAATGCTGCACTCAAGTCCAGGAGGATGAGAAGAGATGGGGAGCCAGCGTCTGCAGTCATCAGCAATAAACTGAGTCACTTCCACCACCTCCAGGAAAAAATGCTTACGAGATCTGTTGTATACCTGTGGCATGCAGCATCATGAGCATCTGTATAAGGGTATTTATATTCTTATTTTTTCTATTTCTACTATATATTGTATTTTTCAATTCTGTTTCTTCTAATGTATATTTGTTGTGTGTACCTGGAGCTGCCATAACAAGTGAATTTCCTCAGTGTGGGATCAATAAAGTCTATCTTATCTTATCATGAGCAATCCTAAACAAGAACGGCATGAGAAAAAGCATTGTTCACATTGACAATGTGTTGGACATTCAAAGTTTGTCCTTCACTGTGAGCTTTCTTTTTCAGGGTTTTTTTCCCCTCACAAAACAAAATTGAACAGAAAACTGATACATCCTGTCCTGGGAAGTTTTTGTGGTTCTCATGTTTTCATTCATATTTTCTTTGTTCCCTGGTTTTACTTTGTCACTCAACTGTCTCGTTTCAGATCATCTCACTTCCTTCCCCTGTTAGATGATCTCACTTGACGCCCTGTCTTATTAGCTTCACCTGTTCCTTGTTAGATTCACCCTCCTAGGAGTGTTTAGTTTTCCTGGTCCCCTATCTCGTTGCCAGTTCTAGTACTTTCATGTCTCCTGTGTTACATTGATCTATGGTTTTTTGGACTGTGCTTTCTAGTTTCTGACCTCGCCTTAGCCTACTAACTGCCGGATTTGTTTACCCATATTAAGACGGATCTCCAGTGTACAGAACCTGTGCCTGTTAAGTAAGCAACTGTCCTCCTAGTTACTGCCTGTATGGCATGAGTCATGCTTTTTGCGTTCTCTGCCAGTGCTTTCTCTAGTCATTACACGAACGGTTTAGAGAATACTGTAATACTGAGTTTCGCTGCACACCTGCATTTCAGTTCTTACTCTTAACACATAAAAGCCATACTGTTATCTGAACAACTGGCCTTTTAGCTTCAATTGAGAAAAAAAGAGAAAATACAAGAAAATTGGTGAATTCAGCAAGTTCTCCTAAATCAAAACTGTTAGCCTTTGGTCGCTAATCTTCGGTCACTAACCTAGGTGACAAAGTCAACATTTATTTGATGTAATTCTAAAGCAGATCCTTTTGTTGCGGAATCAGTTCCACAGTATTTCTACACTTTTTATCTCAAAAGGATAAAATCACTACAGAAACAACAACAGACGTGAAGAGCCACTAGTGAAAGGCTTTTACTGTGTGCTGGTGTACATTAACAGACAATTACGACTGCAAGGGAGGATCTTACCTCATTATTACTTCAACAAAGTCATTGCAGCACCAACCAAGCGCTGTTAAGGTTATGGTTAGGCTAAGATTAGAACACATAAAGGGGTTGGTTGTCACACCTGGGCTGGTGTGACATCCAGACAGCACTATTGTTGGTGAATTATGGTATGCAGCTCCTAAAAACTGAACATTGCAAGTATTTCTTGTAATTATACTGTAATGAACATTAGATTGCAGCAGCTGTCAATATATTGCTGTGTCTGTTAGATGAACTGGTAAGATGAGAAACAAAAACACAGGAGACAAAAAGCCCTAGCACATCCTAAAACTACTGGCAGATGAACATGATGAATCTTAAATAGTGCCCTTTCTCTTCCTGTGGCCTGAGTGAGCACACATCTGACACATTCAGTTGAGCATGGCATCAGTACATCTCAGGCGAGGGTAGGCCCTGGTAACAGAGATCAGCACATTATATCGTGTAAGTGGAGAGATTGTTCCTGTAGATGCATCCGGCTAAAACTCAGACTTCTTCAAATGGCCTTGAGTAAGGGTTTCCCTGCCTTACAGATGCTAGCTCTGATGTAGTGGAAATTATAAATGAGGTTCAGTTGTGGCAAAAGGGCAAGCAAAACCAGAAGAAGACAGAAAGCAGTGCTTATGACAGGGTGATAAACAAAGGACAGTGGAGAAGGCAGCAAATTCCTATCTTGACTCAGAACAGGCCACCGATGCATGCTCCGGAAACCGCCTCTGAGGAGAGAACAGTTACTATCAATGGATTATTGTGCTGAGTCGAACAGATTAATACTGTTAAATCATCAAGGGATAGTTCCCATAGAATGAACTAGTCCTAATGATTCCTGGGATCTAGTGTTTCCCTGCCTAATATTCAGTTATTACATCACAATGCAGAAAGGGAAATTACCTGCTTGTTGGCTGACTCCAATTATGATTATGTAAGAGTGTCCCTAGAGTGGACCTTTGGGGAACCAAAGCAGAGTATCCCAGGAGTCACTGTCACTGTAATGAGACATTACTACTATATCTGTTAGTATAAGGTTTTAACAATGCAAATCTGTCGTTATAAACCTAGGTTCAAAATTCAAAGAATCATAATTGAATGCTTAATAACTACCCTGCTTAGAAAGTGAGATCTAAGTGACGGAGAACATATTTAAGCACTGAACGCAGCTGTAGGGATTGTGGACTAGCAGTACAGCAGTCAAGCTGGGTCTCAATGGAGGCAGCCCTCCATCCCTCACAATAACTCCCTCTAAAATGAATTACAAGAAGAAAATAATAAAGCACTGTAACATTATTGTTGCAATGCTGGCGTGAGAATTGTTGTATTAACCTTTGCTCAAATAGTAAATCTGTCTGGATTGGTAAATGTATATTCCTCCGTGGCATCCTATACGTTAAACCTGGCTAAACACTTTAAGATACACTTTAATTGCAATTAACATCAAAGCCACCAACAACCCATAATGCAACACTCTGTAGGAGCAGTAAGAGCTAGCTATTGCTCCATTGAACAAGAAGTGTTGTGATTATGTAAATGTCTAGCCCTACAATATCATACGAACCCCACTTATTCAAACTTAATTTCCAGAAAAACAAATCATGTGATATTTGTGTCATTACTAAGAAAGTCAGGTGGTTTAGCTTTTACCATCTATTGCATAGGGCCCATGCGAGGCACAGAACTGAGGGGGTGGGCTCTAGTAGTGATTGTTTGGGGTTTATCTCTGGAACCATCTTGACATAGCAAACCCACTATGAAGCAAACACCGAAGCAGCAAAGACGGGGTGAGGAAAAGCAAAACTGACACTGAGCGCGCACACGCAGCTGGGAGGTGAATGATCTCCTCCAAGGAGCAAAACCATCAGAGCTGAGCAGGGATCCAGCACACATGGAGAGAAGACGTCGAGAATGATGTCACCACAAAGTAGCTTAAAAGCTCTGTCTCTGCTGTAAGACACTGCTGTGAGAAACAGCAACCCAGTAATTATTACTACTTAAATATAATTATTATTTTTCTGTTAGACAGTGGTTTACAGTTAGGGTTATTATTGATTTCCTCATCTCTGCAGCATCATATTATTGCACTGTCACTATTATTTTAAGATATGTGGTAATTACACAGCACAGAGGGGCAGGTTAGAAAGCAAGAGCACATGTTCTGTTTCATTACTGTAATGAAACATCAACTAAAGCTGCAAAACATTCACAGAGGATTTCAAATTGTGCCAAAGCTGAAGCTATGACATTTTAATTATTAAACCACACATTTACACTCAGCAGTGTATTATGAAGAACTAGCTTAAAATAGGGCCCTAAGAAATCTGTTTTAATTTTTCTGAATTCTGTGCTTTACAATTTAAACAGATTTTATCATCAGAAAGAGTGTGTAATCATGTAGTGGATGAATACAATTTCAACAACTCAATAAGAAAGTATTACAAATGTAATCAGTATCAATGAATTCAATGTATCAAACCAATTTGCCATATAGCAATGTTTGTGTAACTATTAGACCATTAAATTGTCCCCTATTAAATAGGTTATTACTTGATTACTGATTATTTCTTCCCACTTTTGCAGGACAGCCTCCTGCTACTTGACATAGCTTTTTAACTTTTCTGACTTTGTTGAAAATGTTTTGGAGACGATAGAGGATGTAGTTTGTGGTTGGTGGACAAGATAACAGAAACACCTGTCACCTCTCTAAAACAGTTTCAACAAAGACTGGACATTATAACCTTTATGAAGGTAGGATTTATTCCAGGAAATGTTGTATTAGACTGTCAGTTTAAGCTAGGTGTACCTAATAAACTGCCAACTGAGTTTACAGTATGTAAATGTCTCTGCAGAGTTAAGTCAGGAGAAATCAAGGCCCTGGTGGTGCAGTGGAGTCACAGTTGGCTAGAAATACCTGATGTCAAATGCTTCTTGTCCAGGGTAACTCTTATCCCAGACTAATCAAATGATCTAAAGAAGCAGGCTTTAATGACGCACAACAAATAGTTATTAGTGGCTAAAACTCTGTACACCCAATTATTTTCCCCTCAAGACTGCCAGCATATTACAGGAGAGTTTTAAGCATTTCAAGGTGAACTGCAGACCCTTCACAACACAAAACACCACCACAGTAAAAGGGGTTGTGTTACTGAACTTTGGATATTTAAAGTGAATTGCTTTCACTTCAGGATCATAGTAAACTTATTCGCTTGTGGGTATTATTACTTGCAAAGCTTTAAAATGCAGGAAGTAAAAGACACAGAGGAGCCTTTTAAAGTGTTCTGAAATGAATCCAAATCCAAACGTTCTCATCTCAAAACACTTATTGATCTAGTTTTTACTAACAAAGTTAACCGTAACGGTAAAGTTTATAATTTAATAACAGGTCTTTCTGATCATAATTTAACATTAGTTGCAAGGAAACTGTCAAAAGCACGCTACCGAAATTTAAATAAGGTTGATATTAATGAATCTGTACTCTATATCCCCAGGAAAGATATTGAGAGGTTTGATAATGAAATTAGAAAGGTAAATTGGATTGAAATGATAAATGATAAAGACAGTAATACAGCTTCTAGTGAGTTGATAAAGATGTTTCAACAGCTTGTTTTTAAATATTCTAAACGAAAAAAGGTAAAGCCTAAAGGCAAAATTCCTTTGCCTTGGTTAAATGATAATCTATGGAAATTGATGAGAACTTGAGATTCAGCATTAAAAAAATCCCATAAAAACGAGACTTACAACTGATCGCCTGATCTATAAGGGACTTCGAAATAAAGTTACTCTACAGTTAAGACAAGCAAAAGCAATGTTTTTTCTGGATATAATTAAACAAGCAAAGGGCAATTCTAAAAACTTTGGCAAACTAGATGATAAATAGATGATGAAAACCACAAGGATGGACTAATAGTTTCAAACTATTTTAATGAGTATTTTATTGATTCAGTAAATGAAATTATCCAACACGCCTCTGTATTGCCTCATCCCTGTTCATCACCTCAGCCCTCTATTTACGATCATGAGGCTCTGTGTATTAAACACATTGACTATTCTAAAACAGATAAAATAATACAATCTTTATCTAACTCAAAAGATTTCTGGGGACTTGATAGCTCTTTCATTAAAACACATTTTAACAACAGTTATATAGTACAGTTACATATATTGTGAATAAATCTATTGATGAGAGTATCTTCCCCAGTGTCTAAAACAGCAGTTATAACTCCAATTTACAAATCTGGAAACAAAAATGAAATTAGCAATTTCAGGCCTATTAGTATATTGCCCGTAGCATCTAAAATTCTTGAGAAAGCTATCATAGAGCAGCTAACCAATCACTTAGATTGTAACAATTTGTTGCATTCCATGCAGTTCGGCTTTAGACACAATCATTCCACCGACGCAGCCTGCTGCTATCTGATGGAAAACATAAAAGCCAACTTGGACGGAGGGGGCACGGTGGGTGCCGTGTTTCTGGACTTGCGAAAAGCCTTTGACACGGTAAACCACAGTGTCCTCCTGACTAAGCTCTCAAAGTAAATCTGTCCATGGAGACACTGCTTTGGATACAATCATATCTCTCAAATTGGATGCAATGTGTGAGGGTAAAAAATGTATTGTCCTCTCTGAAGCCCACCACAACTGGGGTCCTGCAAGGATCAATTCTGGCACCCTTGTTGTTCAGTATTTACATCAATGATCTTCCAGCTGTATGCAAGGGCGTAGACATCATCATGTACGCACATGGGAGGGATATGGAGCAAGTAGCCACTAAACTGTCCTCAGCCATGGATAAAATAAGTAATTGGCTTAAATCTTCTTAACACTAAATACTGAAAAAACTGTTGGAATGTATTTCGTTAAGTCCAATAAAGTTAAAGATATACCTAACATTTAGTTTAATGGACAAAAAATTAACATCGTCACAGAGATAAAATATTTAGCTGTCCATTTAGACCAAACCTTAAGTTTTAAAAAACATATTAAAATAATGACCAACTCTATTAAATATAATATCTCTATCTTTAGACATATTAGGAATATTTTGACAACTGAAGCATCTTTTATATATTTTAATGCTATGATCTCTTCACATAGTACTTACTGTTTGTCCTGTTTGTCTCAGGCCAACGAGACTACACTTAAATCGCTCAGATCGGTCTATAATCAGGCATTAAAGGTGCTTGACAGAAAGGCCTCTTGTTATCACCACTGCAATATTCTAAGTAAATATAAAATATTAAGTTTTGACTCACTAATTCGATATACAAATTTGAGAACTGTTTTTTAAATTGTTAATAATACTGCTCTACCTTCTATAAAAAAAAATCATAAATCTTTATTGGGAACAAACAAACCGAATAACCCGTTCCACTGAACACAGAAATTGTGCTATCCCGAAATGATCTTCTGCCTTTGCACAGACAGCCTTTTCATTTAAAACCATTAAACAATGGAATCAACTTCCTGACAGTCTAAAGTTGTCTGTAGATCTGAATAATTTCTCTTGAAACTTAAAGAAATACATCCTCGATAACCAGCTGTGTCAGCATAAGCACACTTAAAGTCTACAAATGTAATATTGAAGTAATTGTTTTTGAATATGTTGTATATATTTTAGGCTGTGATGGTCTTTTGATTAGCTTTTTTATTTCAACATCTGATTGGTTATAAATGATTATTGTTGGATTAATATTATATGTATTTGCTAGTGCTATTGACAGTTATTTGTAATGTAATGTTTCAATATTGTTTGCACCTGCCCGGGGACTGCAGATGGAAATTAGTGTTTGCTAATTCTGGTACAAAACATCTTTTGTAAGATTTATGTATTTTGTACATTGTCCCTGACAAATAAAAAAATAAAACATAAAACAAAATGTTTACAAATCCAAGCGCTTGGTAATAATTTGAACATTTAAGTCGAACTGTGATGGTTTAGATGTGTGTACTTGGGA